ACCCAAAAAAAAAAAAAGGAAAAAACAGATTGTAAAAACTGAACAAATGCATTTCCCATTTGAGGTACCACCGTGTGACCGGCGCCCTCCACAAGCACCTCGCAGAGAGCGATGTCGCGACCTTGTCTTTAGCGTGTTGGGAACACAGTGTGACCGGCCAGGGCCACATTTCCTCAAAACGGCCGTTCCCATTTTCCCATTTTTTTGGGAATTTGGGTACCTAGTGTGAGCATGCCCTTAGAACAAGGTGCAGAAACAACTCTCCCCTTCTTTTCTTTTTTTGGGAACAATGGTGCCCCTAAAAGTTGGGGTATTCAGGCAAATACTGCTCAAATACAGGGGTACGATGAAATACCCCGAGCTCCTGCATATGCCCATGTCCTGGCCCCGTGCAACTTCTTCATATGCCCTGGCGGCGGAGTGGAGGTGCCCATGCATTTCTTTTGCCATCTGCCCTAGAAGTGAGATACCCCTGAAGGGTCCAACGGCCAGAAGTACGGGGGCATATGGACAAGTTTCACACCACCCGTCAGGGGTATAAGACAGTACGTCCAATTGGCGAATGGGGTATTTGGCAAAGTTTCACGGCTGTCATAGGGGCACGCCCAACAATTTCAACCACACGTCGGATATAACAGGGAGGCCTTTTTTTATTAGGGATAATTTGCAAAATACCCCCATAAGTTGAGATAGATGCCAAAATGCCCCTAAAAGATGTACGTAGTGCAGAATACCCCTCTGACAGAAAATATATGTTGTGAAATACTCCTAGCGTCGGTTGGACCCCAATCTTTGCAATATACCCCTACTGGGTACCGCCCACGGTTGTAAAATGCCCCAGTACTTGTAAGCTTTTCCTAGGCGCTATTGCAAAAGGCCAAGGCCCAAACGGGGAGGTCCAGATTGCAAAGTTGCACACCCGCCTGGCAGGGCACAACACAAAGATTTCGGCCCAAAAGGGCATTCCGCTCTACCCACATCTTTCAGGGGCATTTTGGCATATATCCCAACTTATGGGGGTATTGTGCAAATCATCCCTTTTTATTATCATTTCATTGTATCAGTACAGGGAACCCTCTGGCAGCCTGCCCGAATTCAAACCTCCGAGGACTGCACCCGACCTGCAGGAGTCAGCCTGTAGCATCAGGACCGAGCTCCTTAGATAGGTTCTTAGATGGGCCAGTCGCTATGCCTCCCCTCCGGTCCCTGCTCAATGCCGCTCGCGGGGACCAATGGCCTATCTCGACGTAGGCCGCGGACGCCAAGCATGGCCAGGAAGGTACATGAGGCTATTGGGGATTGAACCCAAGACCTCCTGAATGTCACTTTCCTTACCATCCGAGCATCACATGTGGCGGCGGTGTGGAAAAAAAAAGATGCGAAGAAACAAAAACAAAGAAGGAAAACAAAAAACACGGGGGCAGGTGGTGCGATGAGTGGTCTCCTCTGGGCGGTTGCCGCAGAGAGGGTGGCTGAGGACAAAATCACACGAGGACTTCTCCACCGACTTTTCGACGTAATACATCCAACCACGGCCGTAATTACGGTCAGGTACATTCTAAATAATTCTACTGTGAGCACGCTGAGAACTCAGATTAGGTAGGCTTCGCGAGAAGGCGAGGTAGCAGAACGAGCTACTGAAAGGAAGAAGGGGTGAGAGAGAGGGAGAGGAAGCGGAGGAGAAAGACACGTGGCGCATTTGCACGTATACACGAGTCTGCACGCCCCCACGTGAGCGATCTTGACAAGAGGGTGAATCGTCTTTCATTCTCGTGAATCATCCTCTTCAACGTTTTCTCTTTCTTTCTCTTTTACACCTTGCTGTCTTATCCCCCCCCACCTCTTCATCTTCCTCCTCCATTGTCTCTCTTCCTGCCTTCTCCAACTCCAGACACTGCCGTTGTCTATTCTTCTCAGCCTCCTCCATTCCTCCGTCTTCCTCCTTGCGGCTCACCTTGTACGCCTTCTCCCCTGCCTGCTCCTCGCTTCTTTGTTGTCATGCACACGCAGGGATGCTTGTATGCGCGCACGGAGAGAGAGAGAGAGAGAGAGAGAGAGAGAGAGAGAGAGAGAGAGAGAGAGAGAGAGAGAGAGAGAGAGAGAGAGAAGAGGGGGCATAATTGCCTCTTGATAATTGTCACGTGTTACACTGTTTTGCCTTGGATAGTTATTTACCTGGTCGTGATTTTCTTCTTTATCGTCGTCGCCCACTCAGAAAATGTATGTGTCGTCATATTCGCTATACCCGACTCCAAAAAGAAAAGAATGACTGTGCCAGACTGTTTGGTCGGACTTTCATGTGTGTGTGTGTGTGTGTGTGTGTGCGTGTGCGTGTCCGTGTGTGCGTGTC